AAATTATGACAATCTCTGCATGTAAGATTTCAGTGGCCATCTCTGATTCCGACAAGGAAAGCGCAGCATAACAAAGTTGGAACCAGAGATTCAGAAGTGCTGCCAAGTGACCCCAGGATCATCGGCTGTCGCCCTCGCAGGAGCTCGAACTCTGCTGGGCTACTTAGGATGCCTTCCTCCCTTTCCTGGGCTCTCGGAGCCTTTTTATCGGCTCCGCTTGTGTTCCATGATGAGATCTTCGTCTGCTCTGCTCTTCTTCTCTCCCAACCCCAGGCCCCTATCACCCTCCAAGAGATACAAAAGCGGAGGGACCCCGAAAGAAAGCCAGGGAACCTCCAGGTAGAATGGAATCATTTCTGGGGAGAGTAGGGTGCCCGGCCACCAGAACACAGGAAATCTGGTTGACAGAGAACAGAATGTAATAAAGGTAGTCACAAAGTAAGTATGTGGTCAGGATAATGATGGGTTATAATGACTTCTTTCTTTTATTAATGTATATGTGTGTATGTATATATATATAAAATTCCGTAGTTCAATCACGTCAAGCAGAATTGTACAATTGCCACCACAATCTGTTTCCAAATGTTCTTTTCCTACATGGACCCCTTGACATCGTCTCCCTTTCACCTTCCCCTCTATCACTAAACCTCTTCCCCCCAAAACCCTTATTCTACTTGCTGTCTCTGTAGGTTCTTCAATCTTGGGTGTTGTATATCGAAAAGTGGAAAAACATGTATCACAACTTCAAGAGGTGCCCTAACACGACACCTCTGAGATACATACCTCCTGAGATGCACAAGCCAAAACCTGACAGAACAGTACAAACCAAAGCTACACACAGCTTAGGAAACGGGTCAGGTCCAGCCTGCATCATAGGAGGGGATCTACTGACAAAGTTTTAACTGTTCAAGTCGGGTTTATGCCTTTGATCTTCTCTACTTATCTCTCCAAAGCTCTCTGTTCAGTAACCACTCTCCTCCTGTCCCTCAACTGTAGATAGAGGGAATTCTCTCTCTCTCTCTCTCTCTCTCTCTCTCTCTATATATATATATATATATATATATATATTTCCTTTATAGTTCCACAAATGAATCTTGGGCTCTCACCTACATTATGTTCTCCCTCAACCAGATTTCCTGTGTGGCCTGGCACCCTACTGTCCACCATGGCCTCTGTGCACCGGGTTCTCACAATTTAGGCTCTGATACTAGTCCCTCCTCCGACTTCGGATTATATGGCTTACCATCCTTCAGTGACCGATGACGGTGAGCTTCTTCCACCAGCACTGAGTTGACATCTCACTTAGATGGCTGCTTGTTTGGAAATGCAAGACCCCAGGTGCCCTTTTATCAGGTAACCGGGCACCATCTACATTCTTCTCCACATTTTGCTGTAGCACCCTTGTCTTCTGTGTTTTCTTCCTGAGGGCAAATATCAAGCAGAGCCGTGATGTAAGAACTAATTGTTCTTAAGGTAAAGCTAGGATTGAGTGCAAGCCCAAAACCCATTCCTGGATCTATATTTGTTTGTTGGTTAGTTTCCCTTTAATTTGTTAATACTTGGGTGTTAACACACGTCATATCATGCCACAGTTCAATCTCATCTAACAGAATTGTACAATTGCTTCCATCATCCGTTTCCCTTCTGGTCATCTTAATATTGTCTTCCTTTAACCTCCCCAGCCCCCTCTCCACGCCCCCCATAATATTACTTCTTCTTTTGTAAAATTATAGAAAAATGTTGATAAACTAATGAGACATAGACCATACAAGTCATATGATGTTAGTTATCATTGGTGATGTGAGTGAAGAATATTTATGCCCTGGAAGACAAGAACATCCCGGTCAGCCTGAGAAGACTGCTCCTTTAAAATGAGCATGGCTAGAGCTTGTCTTGCTTGCTTGGGATGTTATCAAGAAAAACCAATCACAAAAAAAGGACATCACGTGGAGGGAGGGTGGGTAGAAAGGGGGAACCGATTACAAGGATCTACGTATAACCTCCTCCCTGGGGGACGGACAACAGAGAAGTGGGTGAAAGGAGATGTCAGACGGTGTAAGATATGACAAAATAATAATTTGTAAATTATCAAGGGTTCATGAAGGAGGGGGGAGCAGGGAGTGAGTTAGTTAATTGTGCCAACCTGGCCGATAATCACATGTGGGGCTAATTGAAAGGCAGAGGGATAAATGGGTGGTGAGCCTCGCCTTTCTAGTTCTCGGGGCTCTTGCTTTGTGATGGTCGCACCAGGGTGCAGCTGCCTTAGCAGTTCCCTGCTTCAGCTTGCAAGATTGACTTCCTACAAGACATCCCCAAGGAGAAGCCACATGGACCTATCCCAGTGCAGCCCTGGGTGCTGGAGCAGCCCTGCTAGTGCTGAGATGCTTATTCGTTCACTGACTCAGCTTTCCTCCTGCAGTTGGCATCATTGCCTCTGTTTTGTGAGGTGGTGGAGGACTTTGTGGACTGGTGTTGGGTTAATGGGTTAATGTTGGACTTGTGGGCTTGGGCAGCATTGGGTTGGGATATTTTTGTGATGCACACTTTCTTTACATAAAACTCTCTTATACCTGAGTTGCTGTGGATTTGTTTCTCTAAAGTACCTAGACTAATACATTAATTTGTTTCTCCAAAGTACCTAGACTAATACAGGGAGTGAGGGGGGGAAATGAGGAGCTGATGCGGGGGGCTTAAGTGGAGAGCAAATGTTTTGAGAATGATGAGGGCAATGAATGTACAAATGTGCTTGACACAATGCATGTGTGTATGGATTGTGATAAGAGGTGTATGATCCCCTAATAAAACGATTCAAAGAAAGAAAAGGGCATCACATGTAGTAAAGGAGAGGGTCGGTGACAACAGGGGAGAGCTCACGAGATGGATTACACAAAAGCCGCAGCAAGCGACTCAAACAACATAGCACTGATTTGTGAAGATGGCGCAGGCTGAGGCAGGGTGTCCTCCTGCTGCAGTTGCCCTTCCATGAGTTAGCACAGACTCGACAGGCGCTACTGACAGGTGACTTATGTTCACAGGAGTACTCATAAGCCTCGACCAGAGCACACGTCCAAAATAAGATCAGGTGGTAGGTCATAGCACTTTTGTTTTTCCCAAATAACCTCTGGCTTATGACAGGGGTGCTATACTGATGGTGCTATTTTAAGTCAGTTCTGGTGTACTTTATTTATTTTTTTTTTATTATCAGTATCTTTATAAATCCAATCTTTATTTGTCTTTGAGGATGGAAACATTACATATAAACCTAAGTAGTACATATTACTAGCAATAAGATGTATGGGGGAAGAGGGGAGGGGATCATAAGTGCAGTTCATTATAACTCCAAAATGTTAAGTTGGCGGCTACCTGTATATAACCATGTGTATACATTTTTAATATCTAACTTACATACCATAAAGTTCACCCATATAAACATATGTTCAGTGGGTTTAGTAGCTCCGCAGAGTTGTGTGCCATCACCTTAATCTAATTTTAGGAAGTTTCCACCACCCCCCAAAAAGAACATCCACTACCATCCCCACCACCACCACTCGCGCACACCCCACACACACATCCTTGCGCATCCACTAATCTGATTTCCTTCCCTATGAATTTGATGCTTCTAGACATTTAATAATGTGGCCTTTGGTGACTGGCTTCTTTCACTTCTATATTTCAAAGATTTTTTAAATGTTTTTATTGTGATCGAATGTATATAACAAAGTATTTCCCATTTTAACCATGCTTATGCATTTAATTCAGTGTCACTAAGTTGTGCAACCGTTATCTGTGCCCAATGTTTTTATCATCCCAAACAGAACTAAGTTTCGGCTTGCTAAAGCCATCCACCTAACAGCCACAGAAGAAGCCATCCCCAGGTAGCATTTCTGTGATAGTAGCACCAGGTTACTGGATAATGATCCGGTGGCCACTAGTGTCCATTTATCTAGTGGAGTCCCTACTGTCCGTTCTTTTGGGTTTATGCCTGTGGGTGGCATTGCTGGGGGATATGGTGATTCTCTGTAGCTTTCTGAAGAACTGCCCATTTTCTACAACGGCTGCAGCCCTGTCCATTCCCACCAGGAGTGGGTGAGGTTCCGTATCCCCACATCTTAGTGCCTTTGAGCATCTTCTCACCCATCATTATAACTCACCCATCCTGTCGTCCTAGAAGGTTCTCTCGTGTCCTTGATGAACGTGATTTTTCTCCTCTCTGATGCTCATTTTTTACCAATTGTGGTGGAAACTGCCTATTCTCATGTAGGCTTGTGGGGGACATATGTTCTCATTTCACCCAGAAATGGAATTGCTGGAGCACACATAAACAGATGCTTGATTTTGTAGATAGAACTGAGCACCTGAACTGATTTTGATTCCCATGTCTTGATCCGTTTGGTTTTGGTTTTGGTTTTTCACATTGTGTCAAGCGTGTTGACACCAAGTTCAAGGGGAGAAATAGAATACAGTGCCGCCAATCCAGCTTTAGACCACCTTATTTAATTTAATTTTCTACATTGAAGTAAATGAGCTACCTTTTTACCACTTGTTTACATTGTAATCTCATATTTCTTTATTTTTAATCATTTTATTGGTGGCTCATACACCTCTTATCACAATCCATACATCCATCCACTGTGTCAAGCACATTTGTACATTTGTTGCCATCATCATTTTCAAAACATTTTCTTTCTACTTGAGCCCTTGGTATCAGCTCCTATCATCTCAGATTTTCATTGAGAAAGTAAGATACTGTAAAATTCACAGTTTCAAAGTGTACAACTCAGGTGTTTAGCCTGGTCTCGAGTGGTATGACTCTTCGCCATTATCTAATTCTTGAACATTTTCATCGTCCCAAGTAAGCTCGGGCTTACACGATTTTTTTGCCGCCGTCCCTGCCAACCAGGAATCCACTCTCTGACGGCCTGGATTTGTTTATTAGGGACATTTCCTGGAAATGAGCGCTGTACTTACAACTTACCATTTCCTGGCTGTTTCTCCCTTAGGATCCTAAACACTTCAAGTCAGAGAAGACAGGACGGGGACAGTTACAAGAAGGCTGGAGGGACAACCACCAGCCCATCATGTGCTCATACAAGCTGGTGACAGTGAAGTTCGAGGTCTGGGGGCTTCAGACCAGAGTGGAGCAATTTGTGCACAAGGTAAGTGAGCAAAAATCAGCTCCTAGGCCCGGCGCTCAGGGTAGCGTGAAGCAGCGAAAGGCCCAGTTGTGTGCCTGGCAGCGGTTACCATCGTCGAGAAACGCTTGGCAGTCAGGTCTATGCCTTGTTTCGTCCTCAACCACGGACGGCGGTCTTGCCGCTCCGTGCACAGGGGTGTCTGTGGTCTGCAGAAGCCCTGCTCATCCACAAGTACTGAGAGTTGACCGTCTCTCTTGTGAACCCGAGCACAGGCTGCTCGACGAATGTCAAGGTGTCCGAATCCCCAAAACGCCTCTGGGATGCGAATGCACCTGAGGAACAGTGCATTTCCTTCCCACCCGCCCAGGTTGCTTTTCTAGCTCCTCCCCGCGGTGTGGCCCGGGTCCTCAAGGTGAGCGTGTGGGGGAAGTTGGCTTTCTCACACTGGTCTCAGGCTCATCTAGTTCAAGGCCCAGGTGCTTGGGAAGAAAGCCAGCGGACTTATCTGTGTGCACAGCCCCCAGGGGTCATTCTGACCCAAAAGATCCTGCCGATGTCAGCACCTGCGGTAGGAGGGGCACCAGGGACAGAAGAAGAAATCCCCGGAGTCCCATTAGGCCCAGGTTCGTCAGCATCCCTGCTCATCTAAGCACCCTGTGACCAAAGCATTCCCGGGCACACCTGCAAAGCGTAAATTGCAGTGGTAACACCCACCTCAGCGAAAGGTTTCAGCTTGGTAGCAGCTGCCCACTTGGTGGGAATGTCAGTTTTAGGGATCGTAACCCTGAGGGTGTCCCCAAGCGGGGTGGAGAGTGTAAACGCGCCGTTGAAAAATTGCCCTTTGTAGCGCCTCTTGCTTTCACCAAAATCAATCTGCCTGAGCTGGCCCTATTCCAGATAGGCTGGGTGTCTCTGTTTATTTTCCCAGTGGAAAACGGGTCAAGAGTAACTTTATGCAGTTCTTTGCTGGGGCTTGGAATTTAACCTGATCACGCTGGACTCTTTGTAGTGTGTGTGTGTCCACCGGACTGAGAGTCCAGTCGAAAGGATCGATCTTAGTTAGTAGCCAGAGAATAGATCCACCAAGCGGAGGGCCCTGCACAGTGGGGGCTCCCAGTAGAGCAGATCCTGGAAGGAGTTTGGGAGTGTGCTGATGCTGCGCTGAGTTTTAGCCTCATTCTGCCCCGCCAAGGGCGGGCCTGTGATGAGAAACCTAGACAGCAATGTCTCGGACTTCCCAGTTTCCTGTGTGAACCCATGAGTCAGACGGGAAGATGGGAAGGCCCCAGACTCAGTCTTTCCAAGGCTCAGCACTGGATCGACCTCAGAGCGGTTCTCAACCTGGGGGTCAAAGGTCCCTTTCACAGGGGTTGCCCGATTCATCACAGTAACAAAATGACAGTGATGAAGTAGCAGTGAAAATGATTTTATGGTTGGGGGCTTCACCACAGCATGAGGAACTGTATGAAAGGGTCGCGGCATGAGGAAGGTTGGGAACCACAAGACAATACCTTCATTGACTTCCCACAACATCTTTTTCGCTTTTTTGTGTGAAATTTTCACCCAACATGACCTCCTTTGAATAGTACCCAAACCGTGTTTTATTATTTCTTGTGAGAAAGCACAATTTGGGTTGTTTTTTGGTTTTGTTTTTTCTTCTTTTCTTTCCTCAGACTTGTGCCAATTTTGAAATTTCATTATCTTCCTTAAAATACTTGTCAGAACCATGCTCTCCTGGAGGCATTTCCATTGCCCATTTCCGAATATAAATGAAGTGTTATCAACGCCCTCAAAAACACACCTGCTCCGGCACAGGAGTCGCTAATGAGTATCTGGGACCAGCATTTGCATGGCTGCAAAATGCTGGGGAAGCCTTTCTCCAAACACCTTTGTTTTTTAAGAATCTATTCACAGTTGAAAGGGTTGGGTGGGGTGGGGGTGAGTGTTCCAAAGTGAGCCATTAGCACATTATTGAATTCTAATTTCCAGCCGACAGCTGTGTTTGTGCTTCTTGTAGTGGGATGTGTTTACTGAGGCCTCAATGCTGGGCTTTTGAGTCCCTCGGATCTGACACACTCAGCATTCAAGTGTGTACGACTGTGCACCGTTCCTGGTTTCTGTGCATGTGGGTCCTCCTTCCAAATCCGAAAGCCTCACTAGCTATCCAGAGGCCTGGAGCAATAAACACTTCACTTCCTTATAAATGCTCCCCTTGTTTCTTCAAATTCACCAAATTAAAATCCTTTTCTCATTGAAACATGCATGAGCCTTCCAGCTTTTTGACAACTGCTGGATTTGTTTGACAAAAAAAAAAAAAAAAAAGGAATGTTATGGAGGATGGGGGGAGAGGGTGAGTATCCAAGGAGCATTTAAAAAGGGCCTATTCATACAGGTAAAAGAGAATCCTGCAAAATAAAAGCACATGAATAGTAGGGAAGGGAGAGGGAAAAAAGAGTTGATACCAAGGGCTCAATAGAAAGTAAATACCTAGAAGAAAAAAAAAGTAAATGCCTAGAAAAGAATGAGGGCAAGGGGGAATTGATCACAGGGATCTACATATGACCTCCTCTCTGGGGGATTGGCAGCAGAGGGGTGGGTGAAGGGAGCCGCCGTGCAGTGTAAGATAAGATATAATAATAATGTATAAATTATTAAGGGTTCATGGGGGAGGGGGAACAGAGGGGGAGGGGAAAAAAGGAAAATGAGCTGATTCCGGGAACCCAAGAAGAAAGCGAATTTTGGGAATGATGAGGGCAACAAATGTATAGATGTGCTTTACACAATTGATCTATGTATTGTGATGAATTGTATGAGCCCCAATAAAATGATAAAAAAAATTTAAAAAAATAAAAAAAAAGAATGAGGGCAACATATGTACAAACATGCCTGATGCAATTGATGTATGGATCGTATTAAGAGTTGTAAGAGCCCCCAATGAAATGATCTTTTAATAAATAAATACGTAAAAATTTTAAAAAATGAATAGCACACACATCACATGAACTATACATGTCTTCTGGGGCCGTCGTGTGCCACCGTGATAAACAACCGCATCCCTCTCCTCTCCGGTCAGGGTCCCTGCCCCCATGGTGCTCTGTTCTAGTGCGAAGCTCGTGGTTCAGTCCTTGGGACAGCTGTTGACTGAACTGTTGGTACAGGAAATGAACTTCATAATTCATGGATTACGCAAATTAGTCCTACAGGTCCACACACATCAGCCCAGCAGGATATTGAGGGAGACTTTAGTCTCACCTTCACACTTTCATTCTTCTGCCTCTTTAAATTTTTGGTCAACTTTTCGGTATTTCACCCGAGAAGAGAGAGCACATCTGTTAAGCGCTCTGTTCTTAAAAAGTGTGCCGGTGATTTCCAAAGTCTGACCTCCTGGCGGCCAGGAGACCCACTCTTCCTCAACAAAACAGCAGAGGCTGATTTAATTCAAGATCAATAAATAGTAAGCCTCAAGGTGACTAGCTGGAGAGATTCATTCCACGACTGTGTGACAGCCAAGGGGCTGTCATTCGTGTGCAAACACCACCACCCCCGCCAGCCTGACTCTCAAGTGAAACAAAGAGATTAATTCATAGCAAGGACCTGCCTGCTGTGGAAAGAGCCGTGTGTGAGCCAGCTCAGGATCTGTGTGCCTCCGCCGATCCGGGTCCCCGGCCAGTGCTGGAGAAGGGACGGAGGCATTAGTGCTTGCCAGGCTTAACAGAACTGGAGCGACCTGTTGTCCAGCTGATTGTAGGCCAACATGGTATATTCTTTCAACCTCTCTCTTCTGCTTTTTAGGTGGTGCGCGACATTCTGCTGATTGGGCACCGACAGGCTTTTGCATGGGTCGATGAGTGGTATGGTAAGTCCATTTCCCCCAAATGCTTTGTAGAACAACGTTCACACCATGTTGCTTCGGCTCCAACTATCAGAAGGACGAGATAGGGCTTTCCTGTCTGCAGAGCGCAATGAAGAACATCATTGTAGAAGCTCGGCCTAAAATAACCACGGAGATATTGGACCAAGCAGGCTCGCCATGTGTTTCCATGCTTGCATGCCGGATACGCCCTCATTCTCTATCTGATGGGTTTCCAACCGCCCCCTGCTTTATCCCAAGCTTGCATTCAAGAGCAAAGCTGTCAAAAGCACCGCATATCAAGTGCTTTGATTGGTTCAGTGAGGCCTCAAAACCAGTCTGCCAGCCTGCGAGGGCAGAGGCACAGGTGCCCTGTTCGTCCTCACTGGAACGGCCGACGGTTGGGCTTTGTCTCATGATGTAGGCAGAGCTAAACAAGGTCTGTGCATATCCAGCAGATGAAACCAAGATATGCTTCATCACATGGTGCCCAGAGCCCTGCCTGGGTTCTCACTACTGTCCTCCCCTTGAGTCTTCTGCCTTGACGGAATCCACCCACAAAGGGCTCATGTCCAGAGCTATAAATAGACATGCGTTAGGTCTGGTTTTCAGGTGGATTACTTAACAAAATGCCCACCTCCTGGACCTTTTCCTGAGTCACTTTGACTTTGTTCTGAGCATAACTGAGACTGCACTTCAGTGCCCTTCTGCCGTGGTGCCACGGATCCAGCAGAAGGCATCAAATTTAAAAATAACAGGATACTGGATAGGCGAAGACTGAGAATGTCATCTAAGATTGTGGCCGAGCCACCTGTTAAAAGACAGGCAGCCCCCAGGTGACAAATGAGACCCATTCCAAACTGTGTCTTTGAGTCAAATGTGTAGGTAAGTCAGGACAGGCACCCTACCTGAGTGCCGGTAAAAGCCCCCAACCTTTTGAGCTGTTGGTCCAACCAGAGAAGGTGATTGGGATGAAGGATTTGTAGCAGGTCGGCTTTGGCCAGTGTTGCAGCAGGAGGGCATACTTCCATAACATGAAAGGGCAAGAATGCGCTATGCCCAAGCCTGACCTTTGTAATCCAGGGAGACTTACTGTACTTGAAAGGAAAACAAACAAACAAACACCCAGCAAGCAATCGATATGATTCTGTAGGCTCTGGGCTCTGGTTTTTTGGTTTGATGTTCCTTCTTTGCAATTCCTGCCTGATCTACATCGTTTGAGCGCCAAGGCATCTGTCTGGGTTTGTCCAAATGCAGACTCACCTTCAGAAGAGAGTAAGACCCCAATGCATCGGCGTTTGTGCCTCTCGTCACACACTCTCAGTGCTGGGCTCAGGCAGCAAGTGCACTTTCAGACCACCACGTCATCCAGTCTTCCCAGGACCCAGCCATTGGCAGGCGTCGCCCATAAGATGGGAGTGCCCTCTGAATACTCCCCAAACCCCAGTGTTTTTCTGGAGTGCGTTAACCAGATTCTCAAAGGGACAGAGACCCTCAAAAGAGGGTAATAACTGCTGGTCTCCCCTCTGAGCTTGTGGCCCCCTGAGCCCCAGTTCCAGGGAGGTAGCAACAGGATGTGCAAGGAACAACAGACTCAAACTGGGTAGATGTTTGGCTAGAGGCTGGGAACTTGAAGGGCCAAAACTGTGCCCCTTTGAAGACTAAGAGATAGGCCATCTGGATAGATTTCTCTATAGCGCCAGAACGCCATCGAGAAAGACTTCTCAGGAAAGGCAGCATCAGAAAGGACAGCCAGGCTCACACCCTGTAAGTCTGTGGACCAGAAAAGAAGGTCTGCTTCGAGGCAGAGAACAGAAAGGGAAAAACGGTGGCTGGTCCTGGCTCTCCCCACCAACTGCTCTGAAGAGGATCACATTAGAAGGTCTTGGACCGAGGGGACGAAAATGTGGACCAGAACTCAAAATCGTGAAAGAGACCGGGCTCCCTGGTTGGATAGAGGCTGGTGGGAGCCTCAAGACTGTGACCCTGAGTCTCTCCTCCCGTCTGGAACAGAACTCTTCTCCCCACGCCCAACCCCCAGTGCTAGAGTCAGCAAGCATTGAAGGTCATTGGGACAGAACAGTACCACCACAAGGCCGGCAGTTTGAAACCACTGGCAGCTCCTTGGGAGAAAAAGTGAGGCTTCTACTATTGAAAGGATTTCTAGTCTTGGAAACCCTCAAGGTTTAGATTGCTCTCATAGATGGCTATGAGTCAGAATCTACTCGATGGCAGTGAGTTTGGGGGTTTTTTGAACCATCTCCCAAGGGGGGAGGGGCGATAAAAAGATGCCCGGACTATTGAGAGACCCAGAGCTAGAGTAGTGCATTCAGATGAAACCGAAGGTCTGCCTCCCTGGAGCCCTTTAAGAAGAGAAGAACCCAAACCCAAACTGACCCCAGCTGGGTCAGTTTCGACTTCAGGCAGCCTCCATGTGTCAGAGGGAAACGGTGCTCTACAGGGTTTCCCAGGGTCCATTTCTTCAGAAGTAGTTCACCAGCCCTTTCTTCCAAGGCACCTCTGGGCAGACTCCAACCTTTCTGGTAGCAGCTGGGTGTGTTAACTATGTGCACCACCCTCTAGATGGGAACAACCCCCACCCCACTCCACTCCCACTTTTTTAAATTTAGGGTGGAGTAGGTAGGGCCGTGAGCAGCTCAAAAGAGTCTATTGACCAACCAGCCTTTTTTGATTCTGAGTACAGAGAAAAAAACCCACAGTGTGTGGTTTAGTGGATGTAGATCAGAGGGCACCTGGTACTCCCTAGTGGCTGTCTCCGCCCACTAAGTACACAGTCAAAGCCCCAATCCACACAAGCAGCCTTTTCAGGCAGCAAGGGGTCAGAGAACCACCCATCAGTCTCACAGAAATAGCTGCTCTCCCCATCACACACCCCCTAGACGGCCCCCCAACCCCGCTGAGCTCCTGGCCAAGAAACCATGCCCTCACCCTATTCCAACAGATTCAGACACGCCTTCCATCTAATGTGTGTATGTGGCCCCAGCCCCTTACGCCAAGGCAGTGCTGGAAACCTCGTAGGTCTCTGGGGCAAATGGGCGATGGTTCAGTGTAGCTGAAGCTAGGTGTCCACCCAGGTAGCCCTTCAGCTTTGAGTACTTGAAGTGGCTTATCTTCCCATGGTCCATACAGGCTCCGCCAGGCTCTCAGCAATTCGCCTGGAAAGGATCCAAAGCAAAGAAACCCTTGCCGTGCGGTTCCCACCCGGCCACATCAGCATCTCCTGGAACTTGCTGGAACTGCAAAGGCACTGACACTGCCCCAGACCTCTACTTAGTGAGAACCTCTGGGAGCCCCGGAATCTGTGTTTAAAGAAACACACACACACACACACACACACACACACACACAGCTGATGCTGATGCCCACGGGTTGGCTTGTAGAGACAGTGTCCTTCAGGTAGCAGGAGTAGTTGGCGTCCTTTAGACTAAAGAGTGTAGAATGGTGGACTTCTCTTCGGACCCAGCTGCCGAAACCGTGGCGCCCTGTGAGAAGCAGACAAAGGCGCCCTTTGTAGACCGGCCGCCCTGGCAGCCGGCTTCATGGTTTGGAGTTAGACAGAGAAGGAGTCTCAGTGGCTTGGCTGCTAGCTGAGAAGCCGAAGGTACGGAGCCACCAGCTGCTCCACGGGAGAAAGACGTCTGCTTCCAGAAAGATCGCAGATTGGGGACCCTGTGGGACCCCCTGGGTCGCCCTGAAGCAGGACTGACCGGACAGCCACGGGTTTGGTTTGGGGGGAGTGGACAGGTGAGCTAGCAAAGGTAGCCCTTCTGGGGGAACTCCGCAGATGCAACCAGCTCAAGGGTGAATTCTAGCCAGCTGCCTCCTAGACGGGCTCAGAGCTCGCCCCACTTCTGACGTGGTCATCCGGGTGCCTGTCCCTAATGGAACTCAACACCCGCAGCGCTTAATTAAGAGTCTGGGGCAAAGACCTGGTCGAGGCCGGCGGTCCTTCCTCACCCCGGAGGAGTGTGTGTCCTGGCCGTCACCTCGCTGTGTCCCTAAGCAGACTGCATTCTGCTCTTGTCCCCGGCAACACGCGACCAGCTCCACTTCGGAGAAGTTGGGTTTGTCTTTCGCAGCCCTGAGTAGTCTTTATCCGGTCGTGCTGGGCCTTGCTGCATGACCGGAACACTAATTAGAGACAGCAACAACAAGACACTTCAGAAGAAGGGGGGAGAGGGGAGACGGATGAAACCAGGCAGCCCCGCTTGACAGAAACGTGGGTTTGCCTCCCTTCTCTGACAGCATTTGGAGAGAGGAGCACCGAGGCTTGCCGGAGGGAGACTGTGATTGAGTGGAGCCTCATGACGGTCTTTGAAAGCCTGACCCTTCCAGAAAAAGGATGGGGGTGGGGGTGGGGGCCGTCCCGATGGTCTAGATGAAACGGGAACCATGACAGTGACTTAGACGTCAGCCTAGAGGTCCCTAGGGTGGGCCTGATGAGGACTGGAGCCAGCTCAAGGTGGAGAAAGAAGCGTGCGAAGGTTGAATTCGTCAAGCTAGAATAGTCCAGGGGCCTCAGGTTTGGGCTTCTTGGCACTTCTTGTGTTGCTACACATGCTCATTCTTCTGGGCCAGATGCCCATCCCATTTCCAAAGCAATCTGAGGTCCCTCTTCCTGAATTAAAAGCTCTGGAAATAGCCACACCTGTGGGTTACAGGGCTAGCTCTCAGTGACCTGAATGACGTGGAAAAGAGGATGCATGAATCCTTGAGGCTCAGCTAGTCTCGTGACGGAAAAAGCCGTCCTTAAGTGCTCAATACCAAGCATGTGTTCTGCTTATAATTATTTAAAGAATTCAGAAGTGGGCCTTCCCCAAGGATGGCTCCAAAAGCGTATCCACTCTCACTGTTTGTGGACGCTTCACCGCCACCACTGCCGCCACCACTGCCGCCACCACCGGCGACACCTCTCGGACCCAACCACGTATGCAAGGCTCCCGTTGTCAACTTACAGTCTAGAAAAATTACTCAGTGCATGCCGA